TTTTGCCCATGTTATCATTGTTTCTTTTACTTGTTCATCTTCCACTTTTAAACATTTTTGTCTCACTTTTAGAACTGAAACTGCTTTAATCAACTAGTGGATAGTAATTGTGTGGATCAGGAACAGCAACTGAAGCTATTTCCTGATTTAAAAAATCATATTTCATTTAACTGAGGTCATTTTCAACTAGCGTATGATAAGATTATATGTGAACCAGGTATGCATTACTTTCTAGTTCATCCAGTGACAGATGATCAGGAAATCCATAACTGCCTTGATCAAATCTGGAACAGCCATTTTTAATAACATACTAGGTACTCTTACAGTGGTTTCTGTTCTGTTTTAGCATGAGACATCGAAGCGAGGCAGAAGTAACAAACACAACTACTTTATTGAGATCACAAACAGAACAGAACAGAACAGCAAACAAAATGGTGCTGGCCCTTTTATACTCCCTTTGCAGGGACAGCATCAGCCTATCAATGCAAGGCTAGTCTCCCACCTTGCACATGCTCACAAGGCTGGAGACAGCCTGTCTGGTCCCAGGCAATCACATGGTCTGCCCGAGCCTTCTGCAGCCTCCTGAGCCTGCTGAGTCATTCAGCAGGCCCAGGACGTAACACCCCTCCCCCCTTGGATAAAACAATAAGTGAATACTTACTGTTTTTATAGCAGCATACATATACAGGTGTTCAATTAAGCATGTTGTTATTCTAACACAGTGATGCCTGCACACAGGCAGACCCAGTCATGACATTTCTCATATTTACAAGAATACCACATATTGTTTAATACTATCAAACAAAACACCCCAATTCTGAGTGTGCCCTTAGTTCAAGAGAACTATTAAGCCTCCCTACATACATTCTATTTTTCCACAAGACTATTAGGCCTGTCCTGGAATTGACAAGAACCTTACATAGTCTTGTAAATGCTTGGGGGGACCCCTTGCTCGCTCTGATCTTCTTAGAGCTGTTGTGGGCGCCTGGCCTGTGAGCTCGCCTGCCAGGCTTGGCAGACCAGGACATAGATGCCCCCTTGAATCTGGCGACCCTCCATCGAACTGACTGGCCGGAGCCTTTAACCCCAAGACCAGAGTTCCTTGGTGGGGTGGAATTCCCTGAGTCCACAATGGACCCCTCTTGGGAGCACTGTCCTGTGAGCCCAAGACCAGCAGACGGAGAAGCCTGTAGTGCTGGTTGGCTGGCCAAATCCATAGACCCAGTGCCCAAGTCAGGAGCCGCCTCGTAAGCAGAACCCCCTTCTGGAGCCAGTGTATCCCCACTTTCACGGAGAGACTGTGGTCCACTATCGTAATCGTGGTCTTCCTCCCCCCCGAGAGCAGAGCCAGGAGCGGAAGTGTTGCTTGGAAGCCTCCAGAGTAGTTGATCGATGTGCCGCCTTAACACACGACCATCGTCCAAGGCCACTTCATATGACAGTGGCCCAGAGACCTTGCATACCACTGCGGTCACCCAGAGATGTCCAGGTCCATAGTTCCTTGCCCAGATTGGATCGCCCACCTGTAGTCTCCTAGGTGCCCACGGCTGTGACACCTGTGAAGCCACCTGGTCTGGGTGCAACCTGTCCAGTTTGGTAATGAGTCTGCGACCTCAGCGGAGTTCAGCTGGGCTCTTCCCAGTGGCAGTACAAGGTGTGGTGCAGTGGCAAAGAAGAAAGTCAGCTAACCTGTGATGCCAGTTGCTGTGATTCTCTTTAAAGCATCTTTGGTAGTACGCACCATACGCTCAGCCTGGCAGTTGGAAGCTGGATGGAACAGTGCAGATGTGCATGCCGGATCATGTTGGCTTGAAGAAAAGCCTGAAACTCAGAAGACGTGAATTGGGGTCCGTTGTCGGAGACAAGGACATCTGGAAGACTATGTGAGGCGAAGATTCCTCTCAGTACCTGGATGGTCCTAGCAGTAGTAGTGGAGGAGACAGGAACAACCTCTAACCACTTGGAATGGCTGTCCACGAGGAGAAGGAAGAATTGCCCCTGAAAGGGCCCAGTGTAGTCGATGTGTACGCTCGACCATGGAGTATGTGTCTCCTCCCACCTATGTACAGGGGCCTGGGGCATTTCAGGCCTTGACTGTTGGCACACTTGGCACCATGAACATGGGTCTTGATCTCTTTATCGAGCCCAGGCCACCAGAGATGGCTATGCGCAAGCACCTTCATCCAGACTATTCCCAGATGTCCCTCATGCAGAGAGATCAAGACTCTAGTCCTCAATGAGGCTGGGATGACTACCCTGCTACCCCATAGGATACACCCCTTGAAGGTGGAAAGCCCGTGCTTTCTTTGCCAGAAACTCTGGAATTCTGCACCAGGACACATGTCAGGCCATCCTGACAACACCCATGTCAGCACATGTGTAAGCGTGTGATCAGTGGCAGTTTCTGCAGCCACGTCCCTAGCATTGAGGGGAGATTCAGGCAATTCCTGAATGGAGAGAATGTGCAGAGCAGGAGCAGGATCTGCCTCTACCTGCTGTAGAGGTAATCTGCTTAGGCCATCTGCATGGCCCATTTCTTTACCTGGTTTGTGGACCAGCGTATAGTCATATGCTGACAGGAAAATTGACCATCTCAGCATTCTAGGGGATATTATATGAGGGGTTTGTTTGTTTGTTGTAAACAAACCCAGCAGAGGCTTATGGTCTGTGTAGACTGTGAAATGACGGCCATATAAAAAATCATGGAATTTCTTTATGCCAGCCACTATGGCCAAGGCTTCTCTGTCAATCTGCGCGTAATTACGCTCTGCAGATGAGAGAGTTCTGGAGTCCCATCAGCCTTGAGGTGGCTCAGCACAGCCCCAACTCCATAAGGGAATGCATCACAGGCTATGCATACAGACAATTGCTCATTGAAATGAGCTAACACAGCATTTGAGGAAAGCAAGGCCTTGACCTCTGAAAAGCTCTTTTCATGGACTTGTGTCCACTGCCAAGGAGCCTGTTTATCCAAGAGCCAGTGTAACGGCTCAGCCACTGCAGCCTTGTGAGGTAGAAATGCATGGTAAAAGTTTAACAGTCCCAGAAAAGCCTGAAGTTCGCTTTTGGACTTGGGACTTGGGGCCTGCTGAATTGCTTTGAGCTTGGATTCAGCAGGATGGATGCCTTCAGCATCAATACGGAACCCCAGAAATTCAGTGGAGGTAACTCCAATCTTACATTTGTCTTGCTTCAGCTTCAGCCCTGCTTGGCGGAACAGCAGCAAGACAGCCCTCAGCCTTTCAGCTAAGTTCACAGATGACTCCCCAGCAATGAGGACGTCATCAAAGTAGGGACAGACCCCAGGAATACCATGGAGCATTCACTCCATTACACTCTGGAATATTCCAGGGGCCACATTAACCCCAAACTGCAGCCTTTTTACCTTAAAGGCTCCCCCGTGCGTCACAATTGTTTGGGCCTCAGCCGTTGCCTCAACAGGTAGCTGTTGATAGGCCTGAGACAAATCAAGCTTTGCAAAGATTTCCCCCCCCTTGAGTGAGGCCAGAATGTGGCTCACCACAGGCACCGGGTAGGCATGCTGCTGCAATGTCTTATTTAGTGTACATTTATAGTCCGCACAAATTCGAACTTCTCCATTGGCCTTCAGTGGCTGACTATAGGAGTTTATTTTATTTATTTATTTTATTTATTATTTAAATTTATATCCCGCCCTTCTCCTTGCGGACTCAGGGCGGCTGACAATCGATTAAAAAACACCAACAACAATCACAGAATTAAAATTAATTAAAAAGAGATATTTAAATATTGTCTAATTTAAAATATAATTAAAACCCCTCTAAAAATTACCCTAGGCCAGTCCTGCTTGTTGGAATAGCCATGTCCACAGGTTCTAAGATGCCCTGCTGGAGCAGCTTGTCCAGCTCTGCATCTATTTTGTTCTTTAGGGCAAAAGGCACCCTTCAGGGCTTGATCCTGATGGGTGTGATGGCTGGGTCTAAACGTAAAGCAATGGGAGGCCCCTTGTATGAGCCAAGCTCTGAACTGAACACATCAGCAAACTCCTTGCAAACTTCTGCAAGGCCCAACGTTTGCAAATTGTGAAGTCCAGTCACTTGAATCCCAAGGGCCTCGAACCAATCAAGTCCAATAAGACTCGTACGATCACCCCCAACTACCACATCTAGCAGCCCTTCAAAACTCCTACGCTGCACCTTGAGCATGGCCTCCCCCTTCACGCTGACTCTGGAATTCTGGAAGTCAGTAAGGATTAAATTTGAAGGCCTGAGTTTGACTTGTAGGCCACTTCTGCTGCAAACCTTATTAAAGGTGTCCAAGGAAATGATCGATAGAGCAGACCCTGTGTCCAACTCCATCGACAAGGGAACCCCTTGTGACTTCACGTCAATGTGAAGCTTCTTTTTAAGTGGCCTGTGAACCCCGGTTTTGAAAACGCCCCTACGGGACACGCAGAAGCCCACCCTGTTTTGGCTGGGGACCTTGGTACTGTTGAGAGGAATTTCCCCTTTCGGTTCTTCCAGCCGGGATTTTACTTGATGGCGCAATGCGGAAGAAATAGGTCATGAAGCCAGGTACCAGAAAGAGAGGTTTAATCTCGAGGATCAAAATTTAAGTGACAATTCAGCTTGAATCCCCGGCTAGCTAGGCAGAATGGTCCTAAAATGTGGGTTTTTATACCCTTTCGTGGTTTCCAAAACTTGTCTTTTCTGATTGGTGAGTTTGAATCTATCTTTTCTGATTTGCTAGTCAGTGGCTTTTGTTGGGTAAATTTCCTTCCTAATCCTGCCTGAAAGGTGTTTAATGGCTTTATTGTTGTGTGAATAGTCCTAATTGCTGCTAGCCAGCTTTTCATTTAGTATATGTTAAGTGTTTGCCTCTTAGCCTCAGCCTCAGGCTGTGGCTGAATCATGCTGGGGTGTGGAGGGGGTGTCCAACTCTCCTCAGTATCTTTCAGAGGCAATTCTTCTGGAGACCGGTTCTTCTGGCGACCCAAACAGACGGAGGCAATGTGGCCTTGCCTGCCACATGCCCGGCAGATAGCGGAGCGGAACCAGCAGTCAGAGCGCTTATGGCGACCTCCACACCTGAAACACCGAGGGACTGAGGTTGTCTGCTGTCTACCTTCCTGAGGCCTTCTTCCTGCTTGCTGCTGAAGCCTGTCTACCTCCATCTCTGGCTCTTCTTCGGAATCCTCCCAAGCGACCTCTTGATGGACTGTACTAGGTGTTGGAGGGTTCTTGGCAAGCCTCAAGGCTTTCACCGCTTCGCCCGCTGCTTCTTCAGCTGCAATCTCTCTTAACGCATCTTGGAATGACACATCTTCTTTTGCAAAAAATTTCTGTTGCAGCTCACGACTTCGAAGCCCACAAACTAAACGATCCCGGAGCCTCTCTTCTAGATCCTTGAATGCACAAGGCCTAGCTGCTTGTTTTAAGGCAGCAACAAAGTCCACAGCAGACTCACCAGGCCTCTGATCCCTCTGCTCGAAGGCGTGCCTCCATGCAATTACTGAGAGCTTGGGTTCGAAATGCTCTCGCAGCATCCTCTTTAAATCAGCATACACAATTGATTCCAGTGGTGCTGGGGCTACAAGATTCTCTGCAATATCAAAAGTCTCTTGCCCACAGACACACAGTAATGTAGCAGCTTTAAGGCCGTCTTCTTGGATCTTGTTTACTCGAAAGTAATTCTCTACTCAAGCCACGTAGGAGCTCCAATGCTCAGGGTGAGAAGTATCAAATTCTGATAGACAGCCTAGCTTTGACATCATTACAGGCTGAAGCCTCTTCAATGCCTCTTGCTGCAAGGTATGAGAAGGGGTCCCATGAAACTGAGCTCACCTCCAGCGTTCTTGTACTGGCAGGCAATTGCTTCCTCTGGACGCCGAACTTCCCAGTGCTTCAGGCCTCCTCTGGTAAGTCAGCCTAGTTTCTCCTGTTGTTCTTCTTGCAGCCAATCCCACCTTTGTCGCCAATGTTCTGTTTTAGCATCAGAGACATCGAAGCAAGGCAGAAGTAACAAACACAACTACTTTATTGAGATCACAAACAGAACAGAACAGAACAGCAAACAAAATGGTGCTGGCCCTTTTATACTCCCTTTGCAGGGACAGCATCAGCCTATCAATGCAAGGCTAGTCTCCCACCTTGCACATGCTCACAAGGCTGGAGACAGCCTGTCTGGTCCCAGGCAATCACATGGTCTG